TAGAAATGATGTGTCTTTGTTGCTAAGTTCTGTTTGAGTTTAGCTTATTCATCTATAAAATGATCCATGCTGTTCAAAGGCTGTCGTGGACTTCATGTAACGGTCCAAGCCCATCGTTAGCAGACATTGTCTTCTTTGGGCTTTTCCTTTCGGGGTTTCCCTCACGAGTTTTAAAACACGTCTGATAGGAAAAGGTTTCCACATCCTTATAGGTGTTTTGTTCTCCTCTCCAACCGATGTGGGATCTCACAATCCACCTCTCTTCAGGGCCCAACGTCCTCTTCCTGAGACCTCCCAATCAACTTCGGACCTAGCCTCTTTGTTGGCACATTGCCCAGTATCCAGCTCTGATACCATTTGTAACGGTCCAAACCCACTGCTAGCAAATATTGTCCTCTTTGGGCTTTTCCTTTTGGGGTTCCCCTCAAGGTTTTTAAAACACGTCCCCTAGGGAAAAGTTTCCACGTCCTTATAAAAAGTGTTTCGTTCTCCTCCCCAACCGATGTGAGATCTCACAATCCACCCCCCTTCGGGGTCTAGCGTCTTTGCTGGCACTCATTCTCGAGATTCCCCAATCCACTTCGAGGCCTAGCCTCCTTGCTGACACATTGCCCAGTGTCTAGCTCTGATACCATTTGTAACAGTCCAAGCCCACTATTAGCAGATATTGTCCTCTTTCCTTTTGGGTTCCCCTCAGCGTTTTTAAAACGCGTCCGCTAAACAAAGGTTTCCACACCCTTATCAAGGGTGTTTTGTTCTCCTCTCCAACCAATATGGGATCACACAATTCACCCCCCTTCGGGGCTAGTATCCTCGCTGGCACTCGCTCCCTTCTCCAATCGACGTGGGACTCCCCAATCCACTTCGAGGCCTAGCGTCCTTGTTGGCACATCGCCCGGTGCTGGCTCTGATACCATTTGTAACGGCCGAAGCCCACCCTTATCATATATTGTCCTTTTTGGACTTCCCCTTTCGAGCTTCCCCTCAAAGTTTTCAAAACGCGTCTAATAGAGAAAGGTTTCCACACCCTTATAAAGTGTGTTTCGTTCTCCTCTCTAACTAATGTGGGCTCTCGAACTTTTGTTATTGCAGCTGAACAGCCCTGATTTGTTCGACATGTATTCTGCTGGTATTGTGCTTATGCAAATGGCAGTACCAAGCTTGAGGAGCAGTGCTGGGTTGAAGAATTTCAATATGGAAATTAAGAACTATGGATATGACTTGAATGAATGGAGGGAGAGAACACGAACGAAGCCTGATTTGACGATACTCGATCTCGACTCGAGGAGAGGGTGGGATCTCGCAACGAAGCTCGTTTCGGAGAGAGGCTCACTTAGAAGGGGGCGTTTATCGGCTTCCGCTGCTCTGAGGCATCCTTATTTCTTGTTGGGGAGTGATCAAGCAGCAGCAGTTATTTCAAAACTAAACTTGGTCAAGAAATGAGGTTGTAAGTAGAAATATTATATATTCATTTGCAAGATTATAACCTTTAAACCAATGCCTTCCAATTGCTAAATTTTGACTTTTGAGAGAATCTCGACCAATATCAAACACATAGGTAGCTATTTTTCGGTTGGGTTGACTTTTCGAAAAAGTGAAAAAGTGAAATATCAAGTCAGTTCGTGAGTTGACATTTTTTTTGGTCAAATCGACTAATCCAAGAATAGGGTTATAACCCAACCTTATCCTACTTTTAAGATTATTACGAAGATTAAAATTATTGACACTTGTAACCAATGTTAGGTGTGCGTTGTTACTTTTGAATGACGAGATTTTAGTTATTAATATAACATGTATTAGAATATTTTCGGTAATTATTATTATTATTATTATGTAATTAATTTGATAAAAATTAATATAAAAATATTATTGAATGATATTTTAACGAGAAAAAAATATCATTTTGATATTTTCGATTAGTCTATCGTCAAATTTCACCCGTCTACTAATCTATATATTAAATAATTGACGATAAAATAATGACCGAACCCAAATTAGGTATTCATTAAAAAAAAATTAATGAATGCTTTGAAAGTTTGATAACCATTTAATGTTTCAATGTTTTGTTTTAATTTTAAAAATTATGTTTATTTTCTTGCAATTTCTTTGTAATTATTTGCATTTTTCTAAAAAATTATTTTAATTCTTAAACTAAACTTAAAAAATAAAAAATAATTTTTCAAAAAAATTTAATAATAGTTTATAATCTTAATTTTTAAAAATAAAAAACAAAAATTAATTAGTTAGCAAACTAACTCCTAATTCCGACTAAACGGTGCGTTGCATGTATTTAGCAGTATTGTTATTATTATTGTTATTTTTTTTGGTAACCAAAAAAAGATTTATTATTATTATTATTATTATTATTATTTTATGCTTCAAATTAAGATGGTTTGTGAAGTCATAGGTAATAATAATATAAAAAAAAATTAAATTAAGTATAAATATCGATATTTATACTTTTATCTCTAAAATAATCTTCAATTTTAAAAATATCAATAATACTCCCAAAATTTTTAAAAAAATCTAGAAAATATTTTAACCATAATACTCTATTAAAAAATGCTCTTAAACTTTAAAAAGTTTCAATAATCTCTTCATCTTTTTAAAAAATTAAAAAATATTTGTATCGTTGTAATATTTTAACTGTGACGATACATAACGGACTACAACAAACAATATTTGCTAGCGATGACTTAGGCTATTAGAAATAGTATTAGAGCCAGACATCAATCAGTGTGCTAGTGAGAACACTGGACGCCTCCAAAAGAGTGAATGGTAAGATCTCATATCGATAGGAGAAGAGAACGAATTCCCTGTTCTTTGAATTTGTTTACCATTCATAAATAAAAGAAAAATAAAATATATTTTCTTGATTTTATTTTATGATTTCGACGGTGTGTTTTGGATGTGAATTATCACAACTTTATTCCTTTGACTTTTATTTTGACTTTAGGATAATTTGACAGTCATTTATTAGTTTGGTTTAAATATATATAAGCCTAATCCTTTTTAATGGTTAATTAAAAATAAATAAATAAAATGAAAATAAATCTTAATATATTTAAATACATAAACTATTATTTATTTTTTCACACATTATTTTTAATATTGTTTAATATCTGTTAATAAAAAAAAATTCAATTTAAGACATCAAAAACAAAATATAAGCTTTTAAAAACTATATTCTTCAAATTTAAAAAAAAATTGACACGTATGAAAAAATAATAATAAAAAGACAAATTATTTCACCTACAAAAGGTGAGATTTTATCATTTTAAAATAAATAAATTAAAAAAAAAACTGATTTATCCACGTAAGCAGGGAATGGGAAGACAGGTGGAAGTGGGCCCCACCCACGTTGGTATTTAGAACTAAAAATACTAACAACTAAAAATAGCTGGCGCCTAATGGGCGTCACGACGCGCCGACTGTAAACCAAATCCAAACGCGTGTACCCTTTATTCCCATTAAAATTAATTTTAAAAAAATAATAATAAATAAAAAGAAAACGCGTAAAATCAGGCAATAAAAATATATATAATAGACCATTATTTGATTTATTCAACACAATTTTTATTAATATTATTTTTTAGTTTCATTTTGGCTTATCTTTCTCTAAATGTTTCTGACCGTCCGATTAAACTTCTCTCTCAGATCCACCGTCCATTGAGTCATAGCTTACCATCCACCACAAATTCAAACTTTTCCGCATATGCCATCAAACCCAACGACACCAGAGATATATTAGTTGGCCGCTCTTTGTTTCACAAAAGGCTATATACGTAATTTTGCCTTTTATCTTAAAAATATCCAAAATAATTAATATTTTATTTAATATTCCCTAAAAATAAATAAAATAAAAAATTTGAAAATAATAAATAAATAAAATACTAATAATATGTATTATTAAAATTGTGAAAGTTTAAGAGTATTTTTGAGACAAAATACAAAATTTACGAGTATTTTTAATAAATTGTAGTTTCGATTTTTTTTTTATTGTTATATTATTACAAAAAAATAAAATAAAATAAAATATTTTTAATCCTACACTGAGTATTTACGATATGGTGACTCGGTTAGTACAGTGAATTACATAACTTAAAAAGTGAAATTGAGTGTTGAGTCAAAATATGGATAAAACCCGTGGATTGGTATAACTATTTGGTCTGTGTTTTTTCTATTTCTTTTAGAACAAGACATTTTGTAGGAGCGAAAATCTGAAATTTTCATCCCGATAACTATTAAGGTATGTCCAGGTTAATTATGATTGCAATAAGATGAGACCAAATTGGTCAGGTTTAATACATACCTATCGTAATAAAATCCAAAATGTACAGAATGTTACTGTCTTTTAGTGAGATAGTTCATATCCACGATCCACAATTTGACCTAGGTCTAGGTCAAACAGGATATGACATTACTTGATTATGTTTAACTCAAGGATGCCTTTGCTTTCCACCTTCTATCATCGATAATTTAGCTCAGCCCGTCACGTCTTTCACAACATGACATCCAAACCTACTAAAGTACGACGTGATGCTCGAAAACTCTGTAATTGGATCATTAACATCTGCAACTCAACAATTTTTCTTAGTAAATAGAGTTCCTATTGTCACACTGTGTATGATTTTTTATACTTCAATAAAAATCTCTACTAAATTTCTCTTTCATTTCTTACCGAGCAAAGCAGCTCGAGCTACACAAACAAAAAAACGTGTTCTTACGGCTTATAAACACACACTTCATTTCTTCGATTTCAAATTGTGAATTTTTATTATTTTTATTTAAAATTTAAGTTTAATTATAGCACGGTAGAAATTAAATAATTGTTAGTATGTTATCGTAGTTGAATTATTCTCAAATTGGTCACAATAGCAATAGTTACCGTGAGTTGTCTCACCTAACCCAAAGAGGTAGTGGCAAAATCGTAGATAAGTTGAAAATCCAAGGGCGTTATTGTAGAACAATTGAAAAGCTGATTGAGTGAGACACTGAATATTGCGGCCCGCACCGAAGCTCTTGGCTGGCACCATCTTCTTCCCCATTTCCTACGGTTTCGGGTCTTTTACTTTTGGGCTTTCCACCATTGTTTCACAGTCATCTCTCTGCTTCTCCTTCCTCTTCAATCCGGTTCCTCGATCGCCACTCTCCAGGTAAGCTTTCTCCTCCAAATCCCTACTTTCTGGATCCATCGAAGGAGATAATTTGCTTTAGCTTTGTGTTTTTCCTTTGCTTGGATCTGATTCATCTTACATCCTTTTTGATTTTCACTTCATTGGCTTGTAATTTCTTGGATCGAACTCGTATGATGATTGATTGGTTGCTTGCTGATGCTGGAAGTTGGTGATTTACTTGTTCTGTTGATTTCTGTGTAGGAAATTTTGGATTCTTGTCAAGTTTAATCGGCTGTTGATGTTGTTCTGATCTAGAGAGGAAGAAGTTTTCGAGTTGACTCATGAAGGAAATTCATAAGTTCCATCTTGCATTTGCATTTGCATCGATCTCTGTTTTCGTTTGCTTGTTCTTCGATGTTCATGTGGTTTTAGCTGACAATTACGTTCCCCGGGATTTCATCCTCCTCGATTGTGGAGGGCCTTCGACTGCCAACGACGTCGATAATCGGAAATGGATGACCGATGACAAATCCAAGTTTATTCCGGCGAGGGGGAATAGCACCGTATCGAAAGCCGCTACCCAGGATCCTTCTGTTCCTGATATCCCTTTCATGACGGCTAGGGTTTTCAACTCTAATTTCACCTACAGCTTTCCTGTGGCCCCTAGTCGTTTATTCGTTCGTCTCTACTTTTACCCTTCTTCTTACAGTGGTCTTAATGCATCTGATGCTCTTTTCTCTGTCTCCACTCAATCCTATACCCTTCTTAAGAACTTCAGCGCTGCACAAACTGCCGAGGCTTTGAATTTTGCTTATATCATCAAGGAATACTCGATCTATGTTGAAGATGGATGGTTGAACTTGACTTTCGTTCCATCCTCCAGTCATCCAAAGGCCTATGCATTTGTGAATGGGATTGAGATTGTATCCATGGCTGATATTTACAGCGATACTTCTGGGACTCTTCTGGTTGTTGGCCCATCTACTCCATTCACTGTGGATAACACCACTGCGCTTGAGAATGTCTATCGGTTGAACGTCGGGGGCAATGATATTATGCCTTCCGGTGATACGGGAATGTATAGGTCTTGGTTTGATGACACACCATATTTGTATGGTGCAGCACAGGGAGTGACAATGACTACTGATCAGAACACGACGATTAATTATCCGCCGAGTATTCCTACTTATGTTGCGCCGGTTGATGTCTACTCCACTGCTAGAGCAATGGGACCTGATAACAATGTCAATTTGAATTATAACATGACATGGATATTGCCCGTTGACTCTGGGTTCTTTTACCTTGTTAGGCTCCATTTTTGTGAGGTTGCTGCAAATATCACAAAAGTCAACCAAAGAGTCTTTGACATTTACATCTTTAATCAAACTGCTATGGATGGTGCAGACGTGGTTGCCTGGGCTGGAAGTAACTATATTCCTGTGTACAAAGATTATGTGGTTTTCATTCCTAGTGGTGGAAGTCCACAGAAGGATTTATGGCTCGAACTGCATCCAGACAAGTCTATGGTCCCCAATTACTACGATTCAATCTTGAACGGAGTGGAGATATTCAAAGTCAGTGACTCAAATGCTAATCTTGCAGGGCCGAATCCTATTCCTGCGCCAAAACAGGAAATTATTGATCCATCATTAGCTAACCCAGCATCTTCTCATGGTAAATCGAAGAATAAGGCAGGGATCATTGCTGGAGTTGTTTGTGGAGTAGCTGCTTTAGCTCTGATCATTGGTTTCTTTGTTGTTGCTAAACGTCGCCGTGGACATGGGAAAGATTCTAGCTCGGTTGAAGGACCGTCTGGATGGCTCCCTCTTTCTCTCTATGGAAATTCCCATTCAGCTGGATCTGCTAAGACAAATACAACTGGAAGCTATACCTCCTCCCTGCCTTCCAACCTTTGCCGCCACTTCTCATTTTCTGAGATCAAGGCTGCCACAAGGGACTTTGATGAATCTTTACTACTTGGAGTGGGTGGTTTTGGAAAAGTTTATAAGGGAGTCATTGATGGTGGGACTACGGAAGTTGCCATTAAGCGTGGGAACCCTCTCTCCGAGCAAGGTGTGCATGAATTTCAGACCGAGATTGAAATGCTCTCTAAGCTTCGCCATCGCCACCTTGTGTCGTTGATTGGCTACTGCGAAGAGAATTGTGAAATGATCCTGGTTTATGATTGCATGGCTCATGGAACACTGCGAGAACATTTATACAAGACTCACAAGCCACCATTGTCTTGGAGGCAAAGGCTCGAAATATGCATTGGAGCTGCCCGTGGTCTGCATTATCTCCACACTGGTGCCAAGTATACAATTATTCACCGAGATGTGAAGACAACCAACATCCTTTTGGATGAAAAGTGGGTGGCAAAAGTATCTGATTTCGGGTTGTCAAAAACGGGTCCTACATTGGATCACACCCATGTTAGCACTGTAGTGAAAGGTAGTTTCGGATACTTGGATCCTGAATACTTTAGGCGACAGCAATTGACTGACAAATCAGATGTTTACTCCTTCGGAGTCGTTCTCTTTGAGGTCCTATGTGCTCGGCCAGCCTTGAACCCAACACTCCCCAAGGAGCAAGTGAGTTTAGCTGAATGGGCTGCACACTGCTACATCAAAGGCATTTTAGATCAGATAATCGACCCATTCCTTAAGGGGAAGATTGCATCGGAGTGTCTCAAGAAATTTGCAGAGACCGCAATGAAATGTGTGTCTGATCAGGGCATCGACAGGCCATCGATGGGCGACGTTCTCTGGAATCTAGAGTTCGCATTGCAGCTGCAGGAGAGTGCCGAAGAGAGTGGCAAGCTAGGCAGCGGGATGGACATAGAAGAAGGTCAGCTCGATGTAGTTTACAAAGGAAAGAAGGATCTAGATGCTTCCCCAGGCATTGATGGAAACATAACCGACTCGAGAAGCACCGGAATCAGTATGAGCATCGGAAGCCGAAGCCTTGCCAGTGAAGATTCGGACGGCTTGACGCCGAGTGCTGTATTCTCACAGATCATGAACCCAAAAGGTCGTTAACATCTGAAGGAGAGGCAGAACTCACTCAACTCTGTAAGGCCATAATACTTTCATAGTTTTGATTGATCAAAAGTACAATCAGAGGCTACGAATTGTTTCAATCCAAAGCAAAATATCGTTTATTATTCTGCCTGGTAGTATGAATTGTATGTATAAAGTATCGATAGAGATATCGGTATATTCAAACATATTTTTACTTCTTACTCACTTTCTTGTGTGGATTGATTTTTTTTTTCCCTTTGCCTGCACTGTTTCTTTATTATTGACTGCTTAAGTGTATTATTTTGTACTAATCTATGTCATTCTTTTAAATTTGTCTTTAACTTTTTTTTTTTAGTATCAATTCCATCTTTTTGTGAAATCCTACCATATCGATTAGGGGAGGGAACGAACCATTCTTTATAAGGTAGAAATCTCTTCCTAGTAAACGTGTTTGCGATACATTACGGGTCAAAACGGATAATAACCACTAATGGTAGGCATGACGTGTTACAAATGGTATTAGAGCCAGACATTGGGCAATGTGCTAGCGAGGACGCTAGGCTTTCAAGGAGAGTGGATTGTGAGATCTTACCTCAATTGGAGAGGGGAACGTATGGGTACCTCTCCCTACTAGATGTTTTTTAAAATCGTGAAAAAGATACAATACGTAACGGACTAAAACGGACAATATCTACTAACGATAGGTTTGAGCTGTATCATATTTTTTCAAACAAATTAGTGATATTGTGATTGAACACCATATTAGAGCTTAGAGCTGTTACATATTTATAAGTTTAAATGAAAACTTCGATATGAACACCATCAAAAGCTTGAAACTCAAGGACACAGTTATACGACCTATAAAACAGATCCCGAACGAGTAAAGGATCCATCCTTTTTTTTTTTTTTTTTTTTTTTTTTTTTTTTTTTTTTTTTTTTTTTTTTTTTTTTTTT